TGCGAAAGATTGAGAAATGTTTATTCTATAAAGGTTGGTTTGTTGTTTAACGCCGCACTCAGCAATATACCAGCTATATGGCGGATATTCTAAATTGAAATATCGATAATTTTATGAGTATTCGTAAATTCATTAAACAGTCGCCAATCAACTGTTAAATGTTGTAAAATTCCTTATGGTTGTTTTTGGGTGTGTTGAAAAGCCCCCGACCCAAACACTTAACTCTGTATTATTTGTTATCATTTGTACTGTGGACAATGAGGCCTTGTCTTGTATACAAGAAACATCGTGCACCTAGGAAGGTCAATATATTCCAGTAACCTCAAAATGCGTACATGAGGTACAGATACTTAAACCTTAGTGTAGCCTGGCAAACGCATTAAGAGGTTACGGTTTTCAAGGATAATGTTTTCAAGAAGTCATCTTTGCAAACGCAGCATCGCTCCTTTCTGGCTCGTTCTGTGCATTTAAAAAAACATGTCATTGGAGCAAAATATGATGACACAAGCTCTGTATGACATTCAACATCTAAATATTGAATAATCGGACGAAACCTTTCAGAAACAGTCAAATCCCTTTCTTGGTGAGTGAGTGAGTGAGTGAGTTAAAATTTATCGTCACATCGGCAATATTTCAGCCATATCGTGACGAGAACAATTAATTTTATACATAGTAATAAATGCTACATTGTAAAAACCTGTCAACGAAGGACAGTAAAATAACTAGATTATCACAGATTCGAATTTAAAACTAGCAATTAAATCTAAAACAGTGTAACTATAGATGACAATACACGGTAAAAACAGGCTATATATTGCCAACAACTGAAGGTAGATCACCATACTAGGGACCATGGGGACCTACAGTACATTTGCTTCCTGCATGGACCCTAGCTGGATTTACACCATCCCTTCAGCCGTTAGCGGTGTAGACACATTTAGCCATATATTAAAAACACACATATTCTACGATTAAAAAGGTTGGATTGATTTAAATTGACTTTGAATGTTTTGGGACTCCTTTCTTTGTGAGAAGTAGTGTTTAGCCATTGGAGGAAAATCAAAGTAGAACAAACCCTGTATTCACGAAGGAATTAAAACAGTGAAGAAATATTTTTTAGTACATAATGGAGCAGATTTACCGGTTTATCAACCATCAGACCCCGGTCCCGCATCTGAGTTTGACATTTTAATTACTTCTTCCAGGGACTCAGACGTAAAGAAAAGCACAAACAGAGATAATATTTTATCCATGTACATTTTCATTCATTTGTAATCCTGTACTCAACCTTTAATTTGTTAAGGTTGCCGCTCCTGGTTATAATCCATAACTGCTCTCAAAAACTTTGGAATTCATGGTGGGTCTTGTCCATATATTTAACTTTCCCTTCAGGGCATCAAATACTTTGGTTTAGATTTTATCCTTAAAATTTGATTTAGATTATTCTCCAAATCGATTTTTGATGTTTTAAAATTGATTGCCCCAGGGAACGTAATTTAAAGTAAAGTCCTATCCATGATATATCTTTCCTTGTTTCAGTTAGTTCAGTTTGGAACTGGTTTTACTTTTGTGGATTTTCTATTATATAACCATTTTAGTTTGGCGTCTTTATGCAGCTCCTCCAGTGTTCGAGGACCAGCAGTAAATATCAAGCAAAAAAAAATGTCTTGTAACCTTTCAAAGTGACTCTGTGAGAATTATTTGTTTAAGTTTTCAGTTGGCCTTCCTTTTTCCCAATCCGTTAATCACAGATTTGATAATACAATGACATGAAAACATTAGAGATGCCATTGACAGACAAGGGCTAAGATTCGGGAGAAAACCTAAAATCTTCGAGGCAAGCATCAGGGATTTCATTTTGTCAGCCCACGGGAGCATCGACAGTTAGCTCACACATGGACATGGTTGTGTTCTGGTACTGTTTTAATAGTTTGCCATCCGCTCGTGGAGTGTCTGGCTATTCTCTTGATTTAGCACACTGAAGACGTGTACAGTTCAGTTGGTGTTACCAGGATATTCTTGGACGGGTTGAGTGTCTCCCTCTGGCGCTAGCCTGGTCTCCAGTAGGTTGTTTGTGAAGTTGCCTGGGCAGCTGAGATGAAAGAAACATTTTCTTGCCTTCCTGAAACCAAGTTAAGAACGAGTTTCGGGGATTTAAGGCATTGGGCCCTAAGCTGTGTGATGTAATTTTGTTTCTTGGGAATATATGATCCCTACCAAGGCCTACCATCGAATGACGAACATCAGTCACTCACTCACTCACTCATTCACTCACTCACCCTACTTGAAGTGTAGTCGCGAATCAAGCGTGTATTAGCCACGGGCCGATGTTGTCTGAAGTTGGAACCTCTTGAAGTCGAGAGCCTTTACACAAGCTAAATGTCATTTCGCTTGGGCTTTGAACAGAATATCATGAAGGGTCAAGAAAATCTATATCTCGAATTCAAGTGAGCTTCGGTGGATCAATATTTACTGTGAATAAAAAGTTAAGCGCAACCCAGTATATATCTTTCAGAATAAAACAACTATCATAATTGGTTGAATACTTTTAGTTTAAAACAAAACCATTATGGAAATTATCTTTTACTTTGAACAGGATGTATGCGCTTTTGGAAAACATGCATTTTGTTTTCCTCAAAAAGGTTACCTTCTTTTGAAAAGTGAAAATCAGAAATGACTCCCTCTATGGTCACATGATTGTCATTTTTGACAAGTGAAACCTAAGTTTAAAAGTGTTCTATAAGCAGAATAGAAATAGTTATTTTGCTTTAAAAAGCAGTGCCATCATATCTTTAACAATATTTCCTTTAATTGTAAATACAAATGATCATGATATCTCTAAATCAGTTACCAGATGAACCTTCTCTATATATTGATTGATCTTCCCAATTATTTTAGTCTAACATTTTCACAGCTTCACATCTTAGTTTTGAAATAGGCTGGCGCTTTATATTCTCGGTATACATTTCACCAAACTCACGGACTGGAAATACAACAACGATGATTGAATGGAAATTGACCATTTTAGATCCATACACTCTTAGTTCCACGGCGTTTTCAAAGGGAGTGCGGGACTGTAAGACGGCGCCTCAGGAACTACGGAAGTTCCAAGGGTCTTACAGCGCGAACGACACATTGCCCAGCTGGGTGACACACTCGGTTAACTGCTTACAAGCTCATATTGAGTGTGAGAATAATTTTAGGCCAATTGAAATATGTCTGCAAAATTATTTTCTTGCTAATAATAGTGGTCTGCAGATATAAACATGATGCATGTCCGAATATGACTCGTACGGGTCTGTAACAGCCATTTGCGACCATCTGTTGATCAATTCAATTAACCAAGATCCAAAACAACACCTTGATTTATTTACGAATTTGTTCATTGGTGCAAGTAATTCGGTAAGGTCGAATGTCTTTGGCCTACTCACCTATGTTTTGTAAACACCACGCCAAATGACGTACTTCCACAGCTCTCACGATCGCCATCCTCGATTTTGTAGGAGGGCCCTCTTGGCACTCGAGAGTACGCACGCGAGAGATGCTCGGGCCGTTCGATTAGGAAATTCATCGCTCGTACGAAACACTTTGTGCAAAAGGAACGCACCCTAGTGTATTGTGTCCTGCGAAAATTTTTACGAGGTGTACGGTTCGTACACCAGGGCAAATCCGCCTAGATGGTTTCGTATGCTTTGGCTATTGACCAATCAGAATTCGATAAATTTATGTTGGTAATAAATGCTGATACACGGATGGGACGGAATCCGCCGTGGGGAGGAATAAGGGCGCCAGACTATCAAATGTTCCGCACATACATTAAGTTTATTTTAATAGAAAACTTGCCTAACACTGTTTTAACGGTCTCTGGATGTATATTCTAGATTTGACTGTGACACTGTATCATCTGTGCGTGACTCTGACATTGTATCCTCTGTGTGTGACTGTGACACTGTATCCTGTGTTTGCCTGTGGCACTGTATCCTCTCTGTGTGACTGTGACACTGTATCCTCTCTGTGCGACTGTGACACTGTATCCTCTGTGTGTGACTGTGACACTGTATCCTCTGTGTGTGACTGTGACACTGTATCCTCTGTGTGTAACTGACACTGTATCCCCTGTGTGTGATTGTGACACTGAATCCTCTGTATGTGACTGTGACACTGTATCCTCTGTGTGTGACTGTGACACTGTATCATGTGTGTGACTGTGACACTGTATCCTCTGTGTGTGACTGACACTGTATCCTCTGTGTGTGACTGTGACACTGTGTCCTCTGTGTGTGACTGACACTGTATCCCCTGTGTGTGACTGTGACAGTATCCTCTCTGTGTGACTGTGACAATGTATCCTGTGTGTGACTGTGACACTGTATCCTCTGTGTGTGACTGACACTGTATCCCCTGTGTGACTGTGACACTGTATCATGTCTGTGACTGTGACACTGTATCCCCTGTGTGTGACTGGTCATATGTTATGGGATAGTGTAACAGTGCATCCTTTTGACACTGTGAAACTGTATCTTGTGAGTGCCAGAGCGTAAATCCAATGTGTCCAACGATCACTTATCTCATCGGGCATTCCTCACAAATTCACGTAAGAAGCTTTCGAGCAGAGATAACATTTGCGTTTGTGATTTATCGTGAATATCACTTATCGTAAATACTAACAGATATGTAACACATTAAGAGAACTGAACAACAAATGTCTTGTCAATCCTGAAAGTGTTTCATTAATATTTGATTGAGATCGAGTATGAGATCGATCGACAGTTGACACTGGACGCCAGCGAGTAGGAATTAAAGTGATCGCTTGCTTAAAATCACAAAAGTAATGTCTTCACGAGCGTAAATGGAAACACCCCAAGTGTATACTAGTTGAAAAATGATGAGGGAAATTGAGTTAGAGACACTTATGAAAACCTCCAGCCCCTAGGCAAGTTTATCGCGGATCTGCGACTAGGATAACAAGCTTGTTTTCATCTCTGCTTTGTGTTTTTCAGTTGGCTGCTGCCGGCGTGTTCAGACGCCAATAAAAGCATTGATGCAGTGTTGATGCAGCTTACAACAAAGATGCAATCGATTAACCAGGGACCAATGTGCACGGAGGCTGTTCTTGAAGTAGTATAAGTTGCAAACTCGCCAGGATATTCTACCAACCGTCCTCTCCAGGGAGAGACTCGAGATGTATGAATTATGATACTGAATGGAACCAGTTTGCCAATGGATGAGTTTACCATGTACCCGGAGGTGGAGACAAACGTCACTGCTACGGTTGTGAACGATAACCACACGACAAGCTCCTACTCTGACCCACGTTTAATGTATGCAGAATATGACGAGTGGGTTGAACTGGCAACAGTATCGTACTACATAGACCAGCGTTATTTGTGGTTCATTGTCGCTTTTGGGTTCCCTGGCAACATCGCCACCATCTTCACCATCCTTCGTGTCGGCCATGTGGGGACGCCATCCTTCTACGTGTTACTGCTAGCCGTCGTCGACAACCTTGCCATCGTGGTGAAACTTCTGTATCACCAACTGGCAATGTACAATGTTCCCATTGGAGTATCCGGATGCAAGTCGCTGAAGTTTCTTGGAAGTTTCCTTGTGGCGTTCGCGAATTGGGTGCTCATCACCCTTGCTGTGGAACGGTTCATAGCCATACATTTTCCTTTCTCTCAGACATCTACCCGGAAGTTTAAGATGAAGAAAGCCGTCCTTGTTGTGTCCGTGGAGGCAGGGATCTTGTTCTGGGTGTTTGCCCCTGTGTTGTGGACCCACTCCTACATCTATGACTCCTACCTGAACGTCATGCGGTGCGGTGAACCGGAGGAGTACCGATACTTCGTGGAGGAGATATGGCACTGGATCGACTCCGTCGTATACGCCGTCATCCCGTGTATCTCCCTCTTCACGCTCAACGTCCTCATCATCCGCGACACTACACATTCCCTGAAAGCACGCACACTTCTCACCAACAGCGTAAACTCCAGAAGAGGCAGTAACTTCAACGTCCAGATCACAGCGATGTTGTTGACGGCGTCAATAGTCTTTGTGGTGCTGACGTTGCCGGTGTGTGTCTACTACGTCGTGAACGTCTACTGGGACGTCTCCCCATACAGCGTCCAACAGGGATGGAAGAGCATCTTCAGGGACGTCGCCTACCTTCTCTGTGATCTCAGCCATGCCGTCAACTTTTATCTATATTTCCTAAGTGCCCGGAAATTCAGACGCAATTTCCTCAAGGTTCTGACCTGCTCACGTCGTGGAAACCCGAGTACTAACAGTGCAGCAATGTGTCCCAGTAACTATCTATAGCTCCGTCTGCTGGTCAAAAATGTTCGTATTATATATTCTGCCATTCTGAGCTGGTATCTGGACCGTATGATTATATCAACTATAACTTTGCGTGCGGACTTTTCTGGAGTCAAGATTTTACGCTTAGGTTAACAGTGGGATAATATTGCAAGTGAAGCAATTTATTGCGGGAAAATTGGGACATTTCTTTGGAGCAGTTTCCTTGTGGGTAATTGTAGTTGAGCCTATACTCTGTCTGCAAAGCTGCTTGAGCTGAATCATGCCTACAGGCGTAATGGAGTGCCATTCAAGGAATTTGCTGTGCCATCTTATCAATTCGAAGGATTATTATGATTGTGATTTTGATCAGGATCATCACGAGACAAAGTTATCAATATGATCGATTTTGATTGCAGCCTAACGTCTCAACTTGAAGTATCACCAAGAAGGAGTTTTGTACGTACAATGTGACGTTAATTGCAATGGTCACAACTAAGAGCAGCTAGATATTTCTACTTTACATGGACTCATGCATGCACAGAGGAAGAATGTGAAAGGCTGTCAGTTGTCAACCATTTAAACCTGCCGGGGTGAGATTTATAATTGAGACAGATTATAATTATCAGTCGGCACTTGAAACCTCAGACGTTTTCTCTGAACAGCGAGACAATTTTGGGAGCCAGCATAATGCTGTTTTTCCAAACATCCAGTGAAACAATATTTTGATTAAACCCAAGGAATCAAATTATTTTTCTAGGAGTTGAAGGAAGATGATATGATTGTCCTCATCTCCGTTCCCCGAGAGTGGTGAATGGTCATCTACTAAGTCAGGAAATATGTGAATATGAGACATACTATGCATCCGATGTGTTAGCTATGTATTAAACATTAACCCCTCTCAACAGAGCATTCCTGTGACGAGCACTGACAAGACGTCTGTGATATACCATTGATTAAGGGACCGTGCAATCAATTTTCTCGCTAATGATATTTCTTGACAGTTCTTTTCTGTCACTGCTTTAAGTCAATGAGTTAAAATTTATAGTCAAATAGACAATATTTCAGCCATATCGTGACTAAATCAAGATATATGTCTTTCCTTTGGTTTGCCTTTCTAAGCGTGGTCAGCACATTTCTTATATACTCTTAACTCGAAAGGAATATCTATACAGCTGACAGGTAATTATTATAATATATTTGACACAGCACCCAACTAAATGGGAATATTCAAGGCTATGCGAACACAACAGATGTCATGATTGGGTAATACATTTACGTAATATGTTTCACTCAAACACCACTCACCATCTTTTGAGTTATTGCGCAAAAACGCTATGACGTTTTCGTAATTGATTTTTGGTCCTTCTCCACAGAAATGTCAAATCCAAGATGTTTATGATTACAATTATTTAGTTGTACCGAAAATTACTCAAAAGTCTGATACAAATACATTCCATCTGCCACCTCCACGCAATGACATTGTCATATACATACCTTCATCACGGTCAGAAGATCCACATTAACTCCAGTCCCCATGTAACAATATTAAACATTAACTATGCCTGAGAATCTCAGGTAACTACACGTGTGTGCTTGATTGGCATTGTTTAGAAGATGCTATTTGTGTGAGTGAGTTAAGTTTTAAAGTCACTTTGGCAATATTTAAGCCATATCGTGACTAAATCAAACTATAGATTAATAATAATTGAAGGTAAATGCAAAAAATCTGTCAACGAAGATTATCACAGATATTAAATTAAAAATATTAATTTAATCTAAAGTATTTTAACTATACAAGCCAAGGCAATATAAAAACTAGATTGCCAACAACTGAAGGCAGGTAATCATACTAGGGACCACGCGGCGTACAGTATATTTGCTTCCTGCATGGACCCTAACTGGATTTATACCATTCCTTCAGCTGATAGCAATTGTTCGTAATGTTAGCCATTTACCTTAAAAGTACATATATTCTATGATTACAAACGGCGGTAGATATGAATATTCTGTGATTGAAGCGGATTACATCACTGCTATAAGACAAAGGATATATAAATTGTCGGTCTCGAGGCTCATGTATTCATATCATGATATCGTAAGATTTGAATGATATTCACTTGATAAGGCTTGACAGTCTATTTTCGTTTTGTATTCAAGTCATTCAAGACCTCTTGACAGTGACCACTTGTTCCTCTACAGCATTTGTAATGGCGGAATGGAAAAATAACAGTAATCATTTAACGTGGCAGGGCACTGAAACGAAGGCCACATTTTTGGAGAGTATTGTGAGTGAATATTGCCTAACGCAGCATCAGCGTATATGCCGCTGTTGCGGGGAGGCAGCACTATAACCTGGTGGGTGGCTTACGTCCAGGGGCCCCAGATGGGTGCAATGTGTGAAGCCCATTTCTGGTGTCCCCTGCCGTGATATTGTTGGAATGTTGCTAAAAGCGGCGTAAAACCATACTCACTCACTCACATCCTGCGGCTACTTTTTGATAGTCAAACAATGTTGAATTTTGTAAATGTTAATTAATATATCTATGGAACCGGTCAGTACATTATTAGAGCGGCATCATGGTATTAGAAATATATGTATCACGTTACAGACCAGCAATTTTTTGATAAACAGCAAATGAATTGAATAAAAGACACAATTTTAATTGTCAATATAACACCGAATACACGTTTTACCTGCAAGAAAACGTCTGAAAACGTCTGTAAATGTTAATGTTCTTATAATATATCGTTCGGAAAATATTTGCAAGTAGACTTCTTTCTTGACAGGTCATGAGCATGCCAAATATCCCATCTGAACATGCATATTTTCCTGACGACTTATTACTACTTGAATGCAATACTTGCATGCATATACAGCATTTAGTTGTGGTCAAGCATTAACATTGAAAGTGTCCTGGCTGATCATTAGCATGTATAGTGTTGTCGCTAATCATTACCATACGTAATGTTGTGAAAAATCATTAAAATGCATAATGTCCAGGCCAATCATTAGCATTCAGATCATTAGTATAAAGAGCATCGTTGATTATTTCCTTGCATAGTAAGTAGTATTGTGGCTGAACATTTCCATGCATAATGTTTACATGCATTATTACATGCATAGATAATTATTACCTTCGATAGTCTCCTGGCTGATCATTAACTTGCATAGTTTCCTGTCAAATCATTAATATAACATGCATAATGTTCAGGCTGATCATTGAAATTGATAGTTTCCTGGCTGTTCATTAACATGCATTGTGTCCTAGCTGATCATTAGTATGCATTGTGTCCTAGCTGATCATTAGCATTCATTGTGTCCTAGCTGACTATTAGCATGCATTGTGTCCTAGGTGATCATTAGAATGCATTGTGTCCTAGCTGATCATTAGCATGCATTGCGTAAAAGCTGATCATTAGCATGCATTGTGTCCTAGCTGACCATTAGCATGCATTGTGTCCTAGCTGACCATTAGCATGCATTGTGTCCTAGCTGACCATTAGTATGCATTGTGTCCTAGCTGACCATTAGCATGCATTGTGTCCTAGCTGATCATTAGCATGCATTGTGTCTTAGCTGATCATTAGCATGCATTGTGTCCTAGCTGACCATTAGCATGCATTGTGTCCTAGCTGACCATTAGCATGCATTGTCGTCCTAGCTGATCATTAGCATGCATTGTGTCCTAGCTGACCATTAGCATGCATTGTGTCCTAGCTGACCATTAGCATGCATTGTGTCCTAGCTGACCATTAGCATGCATTGTGTCTTCGCTAATCACTTTCATACATATAGTCCAGTCCCGGCTTGTTCTTTGTCATACGTGTTGTCCTGGCTGAGTATTTTCATGCGTAGTGTCGTGATCATTAACATGCATAGTTTCTTAACATGCGTGTACACCTCTCCACTTTCGTTCCCGTGGCTCCATATTCAGCACAGTTGGGTCCATACAACCATTGATCCATGTAACTCACTGTACATTGTTTAATATGAAGGCCGGAATCTAAACAAATGACTTCGTTGACCACTCTGAAAACCAACTAGCTGTCTAATAATACACTGAAACACAGTCAGCCCGACACGTGTCATTTAACACGTTCCGAAGTCACGTGCACACTCGAAGAAAACAATCCCAGTACTTATTTGTGAACTGTTTCTTTATTAGGTTAAGATGACATCTGCAAGACCAAACATATGTTGCCAATATTCGGCAAACCATCCCTGAATGCACAGGGATTTATTTTGTAAAGGTGTTGCTTTTCGAATGCTTCTATTTGTGTGTTACAGACGCTGGGGAGGACTGGCTGAAATATACTACTCGGGAAAAGAAAGTATACACCCATACTTGTTGGTGACTAAACTGAAACAAACAAATAGGGTTATAGAATGGTGATGACTTTGAAGATCATAGTTATAGTTCGACTTTAAGGGTTCGTCTGTGTTCAACCTTGCATAGCTTGGACAACATCTGTGCTTTTTTGTCAAATACAGTTTTGAAGAGTATACTTTCCTTTGCCAGGTAATTCAGCTTTATAGCCAAAACGTCCCCTATGAGTTTTTTAATTATGTATTGGCAAGAAGATATACAGGCTTTGTGTTCACATTTACATTACAAACTAAAATTAAGGGGTTTCTTTGAGTTTGATGTAACTGTAGTTGCATAAAGTGTATTTTAATGCTACGTAGCATGCGCTTTGTTGCTTCAACGTCCCGCACACGCATTCGAGTCTCAATATCAGCACATAATACAAAGCATTTATTATACGTCCTTTGGATTTACATTCCAGTTTCAATACGTTTAATGGCATACTATACGTGGTGATAGAGTATTTATTTTTATCCGACGTTATATAACTTGTTACGATTGCTTCCAGGCCTCAGTATTTGCATCAGCCCTTAAAAGGAATTTTGCCCACGATGATGTATAAACATGAAGTAATTATAACGAAAGTCTTATGAAGCTCATGACATTCCTGAGATAATTCTCCATAATATTAGTGTTCCGGATATTTAGCCAAGTAATGATACTATGGGCTATGTCACTTTGATAACAACGACCGCCATCCGAAAAAGGCATATATATCTTTACTAAATTATCAATGCTTGTAAATCAGGTGTTTACAAGCCCAAAACATCACATAATTAATGGTAACAATAAGTTTATATCAGAGTGTACAACCTTCGAAATATTATGAAGGTGATGTTGTATTGCAGTGTGGGTTGCTTCAGAATTTATGTGAACGCAGAATTCAATATTATTTCATCTCGGTGAAGTTCGTTGCGATGTTCCTTAACGCAATAGGAGCATTGCAGCTGGATGTGTAGCAACGCGGGGTTGTAAATAACCTTTGGTAATTCTCCAGCCTCATATTACAGACGTGTACACCCGTGGCCTTACATTAAGAATAACCTTTTCTCTAATACAATACTTGAATAAAATATATTAATCATAGTATGTGTCTTGTTGTGATTTCTTCGTGCTCTGGAAGAGGAAGACAGAGGAAGCACTGAAAGTATCGTTGTTGTTGTAGAAAAAGGCTTTAGAGAAGGGTGTATAGCAAGAGTGGGAAACACACATACATTGTTGTGCTCGTGGTTGGCTGACTTCGAGGGAGCAGCGTGTTTGTTTGTGCCAACGGCCAATCGCATTTTATTCCAGGTTACGATTCTCACAAGTCTTGAACAGGGATAACGTTTTGGCAAGGATGTCTTCAAACAAAGACAGCGGTGATGATGATCCATCTTTGAATGTGTGCATCGTCAACATCACTAAGGGTACAGCCACTGCACAATGTCCGATATGTCCGGCAAAACTGCGAACAAGTCCATGGCCGTAAGGATACGCGCAGATTATGAGGGTTTTGAAGAAGTCCAGGATGTAGATCTTGAGTGTATTTTGGGGAAGAGTTGGTGGGAGATTGTGTAGAATGTGAAACAGATGCTGTATGCGATCATTATTGGGATTAAGATTGCACTCCTGTCTTTTTGTCAGTCATCAATCTACAGAGTAGTCCAGGACTGATACTTAAACAAGGTATACAACACTTCTGACGAACAGCCCTTTACGTAACGCCGGAGTTGACGTCATGGACTGGCCTTCCAGTCTCCAGACTTGAAGCCTATCAAAAGCATTCAGGACGGGCTAGTAAGGCCCGGCCCGTGAAAGAACATACGGCAAACAATGGTTGATCAATGGCAACGGTTGGGGTGTAGCGACAGGCTTTCCTGTCCACGTTGTATTGTAGTCAAGGCCACCCCAAGATGTTGACTTCTGCTCCAACAGTGTTATCAATGTGAAGTTTACTGATGTCATGGAACATCATGCATTATCTTACCTCACACATAAATGTCGCTTTCTGATTGGCTGAGCGCTCTTCAATTATTTTCAATGTACCCCGCTTACAAGCGAGTAACATTTCAATGTACCCCGCTGTCAATGGCAACTCATTCTGTACTTCGTGGTAGTAAATATTTACCTCGAATAACATTGAATCACGTTTGATGTACGGGAATTACCGATGTTTTGCGAATGCAAATCGATGGAAGGGAGATAACTCTAAATTTGTTTTTCTTGTCAGCAAAATCTAGCGATGGCTACAAATAGATTTGTACCCGTGCTTCAAACAATTCAAAATTCACATCAAGGTGTTCGGTAAGATACAGTACAACCAGAAATTATTGAGAAATTAAAGATTGCAATGTTGTTGTTTTTTTCACTCATTACTCACGTATTAAATGTGAATATTAGCAGAACATAACTCCAGATTCAAAGACAGGTGAACACTTATTCTACCATGAATCAAGAAAATACTAGATTCTGATTTGTTGTTCAGAAAAATCAGACGGCATCAATTGTGAATTGAC